AGGGCTAAAAATTTCTTCACGTATTACCCCGTTATCGCTTTAGTCCAGTCTCTCCTACTGAAAGTGATTTTTATATTTATAAAATCTGATTTTACCATTAATTTCCAGCATGTATGGTGTAGTACCCAGAAATTATTGAATATTTCCTTTAATAAAAGATGCCCGACATACCTATTTGTGAAGAATTTAAAATTTTAAATCCACTATTAAAGAAAAATGATGAACTATTATTTTTAAAATCTTCATTCAAAGAATTTAATTCTTATCTGTTGTTTTGAGAATTTTGTTTACAATTCCAATTTTCAGTTGAAGGAAGATTTTCAAAACTTAAATATCATTAAAAATATTATACTACGACGACACAATATCAATTGTTTCAATAAAAAATAGTATTTGAAGAAAAAATATTTTAAAATTATATTTGATTATATAGAAATTGATTTATTTGTTCTCTGATATATCCAAAACTGGAACTTTGTCAGAAAATTATTATTGAAACTTTCAAAAATTATAACTATTAATCTTGCAATAGCCAAAGTTTTCAAAGTTTTTGAAAATTTTTTTCTTTCGGTTTTTCGATATTTCAGGAAAAATAAATAATATTTTTTGTTAAAAAAACTATAGAGGTGGTGGTTGGAGGCAAGAAAAAGATTTGTCCGAATTACTACATTCATGGTTATTTTATATAAATACCTTCTCCTTGTAAGGAATTTTGATGACATATTCTATTTTTGTTTGAGAGTAACAAAGCTTCAACATTGCAGTTCCTATCCCAATTTTTTAAAATGTATAACGCCATTTTATCGAATAAATTTTGTAACTTATTATTTTTTTAATATTTTTTTGAGAATCAAAAGTTGCATTTATTATATTTTTTTTAAAATTTACATAATATTATCATAATTGGATTTTAATTCGTAGACATATCACCTCTAACATATTCAATTATGTTAATCACCTCAAAAAATGATAAAATTGTAGGAGATTACACTGACTTAGCAAATTTTTTTCATTGTAACCGAGAAAGGGTGAGATAAAAAAAATAGATTAACCCCAAGAATGACAATAATTTGACATTGACATTATTTAGTTTAAAATAATTCCTACCGTGAATACAATATTATATAATATAAAACACAGAATTTAAATTCTGTTTCTACCCCCCCCCCCCCCCTTCCTATCAAAACAATACTCTTTTTCTTAAACAAAGTAATAAAGACAAAACTTAAAATAATGCAAAGAACATATTATAAGATGTTTAAATATATTTTTTTTTGGAATAAATTAAAAAATTCTATAAAAAAAATATATACATATCTACCACAATGCATAAATACCTAAAATATTTATCCATGGGCCTGGCTTAAAAATTTTCACCCAAGCCGGACCTAAAATTTTTTGTAAAAAAATACCCGAGCCGAGCCGTTTATTTTAAAATCAAATATTTTAAATCGCCATTATTATATATATAAATTAAAAATAACTATGATATATTTTAAAAAAATCCGGGCCAGGGTCTTAAATGTTACCTCTGCAGGTCTCCAGGCCTCTGATATGTATATTCATAATAATAATAAAAAGGGTTGTTCTGAAATTTTAACGACATATTAATTTCTGCACTTTATAAAAAGAGGTTTATTATTATTATTAAATATTAGATATAAATAAAGTCATAGATATGAATTTAAATACATAATTATTTGGATAATAAATTATAAGAATTATTTTCATCTTCCACAAAAGGTTAGATTGTAGTAAATAAGAGGTGCCATAAATATGATGTAATATCATATATATTACACAATAATTAGAAAAATTGCTACTATAAAATATTTACCTTTCAATAAAATCGTATAATTAAAAAAGATACTTTGTTAATGGCAGATAAAACTTTGATGATATATTTTAAAAAGGAAGATAAATGAACTGTAGAAAGGGATAGTTTCTTTGGATGTGGAAAACTCAGGGTGATTTGTACTAATATCATTCATTGGTGGATTATGTAAAGGGCTATGTTTCTTCCTATAAAATTTATAATATAGCCATAACTTTAATGAACATATATGCAAATTTTTAAATTAATAGCCTTTATATATTTTGCTAAAAGCAAAATAAACAAGAAAGTGATTTTAATCAAAACAAGTCAAAACTAGAAAAGTCTTTTAAAAGATGAACATAGGTAAGAAATTAGATATAAAAATACATCTTAACACCATATTTAAGGTATTTATACTCAAGAGTTAAAAATTTATTCTTGTAACATTGCCACCCTGTTAATCCTTATACTCCGGTCTCTCCTACTGAAAGCGATTTTTATATTTATAAAATCTAATTGTAATGTATTTCAGCATGCTTAGAGTCCAACACTATGAATTTTAGACAATTTTGCCATAAGTCTTTGAACCATCTTTTAAACTTATATTTTCTTCATAAAGATTTTTTGAACTCTATTTTACAATCGAAAAAATGTTTTAGAAACATTTGTGGGTCTAAATGATCATGACTAGTCAAGCGAATGGTATCGAGGCTTGAGAAACTAGGGTACTTTGAACAAGAGGTCAGCAAATGGCAAAATTTTTAATATGGATTATCATTTATATGAAATTTCAGAATTCATCAAATATAAAAATTTAAAAAAAACTATTAATGTATATCATTATGAAAATAGAAATTGAAATTTATATATTTTTTTATTCGGTTATTTTATCAATTATAATTTTATTAAATTATATGAGATATTTTATACAGAATTAGATATTTTATGTCCTTAACGTTTATAAAATTATATATAATTGTTTATATTATTTTTGGCTAAATTTTATTATATAGTAATAATTTAATTTATTCCAAAGAATATTAAAATCAATCTTAATTTAAAAAAATAGTATTTTAGCCAATTATAAGCCAGGAAATCTAATGGTCCTATAAAGTGGTTTGACTTAACCCCACGATTGGGGCTTCTTGAATAAAATGAAAACTTTTACAAAAAAATTAAATTTAAAATAAATGAATAAATTGTGATAGTGTTGACTAAAACACTTGTGGATATATCAATTGATATAGAGTACTTTTCAAATCCCCAGATATAATGTATAATGTGATATTCGATTTTTATAGAAGGTTTTTCTAGCCTCCTTTTTTTCAGGAAGGCAATGACTGGCCAGTGGATAAATGATTATCATAATCATTTAATAATAATTAACTTAAAATTTATAAATGACCATTCTAACTTCCTATAGAAAATGTTAAAATATTTATATGATATAATATAAATAAATAGCAAATATTATTTATTCAAGCCAGATTTCGCCTAAATACTAGCTTAAATACTATTATATATATAGTTTTGAATTTAATTTATTGTCTTTGGGTTTGAACTACTGCCATTAATATTTATCAAATGAATTTTAACCTTTTTTTTTATCTGTCTTGACTCCTAATGGAACTTTAGACTTAAGAGAAATTTTAAAATTATTATTCTTTAATTTTATTTGTTTATGTAAATGATTTGTCAATCTTAAAGTATGTAATTATAATCAACTCACAAATCGGTTTATTTAGGGCGTTTCCCCCCATAGGTGTTCCTGGGCTGGCCAGTTTTCTAATTTATAAGTATCATCTTAATCTAATTTACTTTGAGTATTTAATTTAAAAAAAATAAATATAGAACTTCATCTCAACAATTTGGAAAATATAAATAAGTCACTAATAAAAGAAAGAAATTTAAAAGTGTCTGAACTATTAATAAACTTACTCTCATCTTCTTTATTTTTAGAAAGTGATATCTCTTTTTTTTAAGTTTATTTTTGTTAAAATTATTATATTATGACAATATTGTATTTTGTGTTATATGAAGCGGAAAAATGTTAAAATTAATATAAAAAAAATAACTAAATGAGTATTAGAAAAGCAAGATTAGCTCACTTATCTCAATAGAAAACTATTTTTTAAATAAGTTTTTCGTTTTTTTTTGACGAGGGTATAATATAATTAAAAAAAAAATAATTCTGTTATTTTTGTAAATTATCATTCTAAGAATTATAAGTTTATAATATATATGAATATTGAGGACATAATAATTATTATAAATAAATTTTTTTAAGATTGAAAAAAGAAGAAGATGTAACATTATATTATTTAGTAAAAACTATTAAAAAGTAATTATGATTGTGTGACGCAGAAGATGATTCGTGATAAACAATCAAAGTGTGCTTTTAATCCGGTTCATCATAATGATATTTGTTTCATTTATCTTCACTCATATTTTGTCGTCGTAAAATTTAAGTTCCTTATCTTATTTTATTACTTTTATTATGATTTATTAGACTAATATCATAGTAATTATTCTTATAAAAGAATTATGACGAAATTAAAATGAGATATTTGAAAAATGTTTATTTTTTTTTAAAAAAAAACAATGGATTCTTTTATTTCTTTCTTTAGGCTGTGTCCAAAATATCTAAAAATTTAATTCGAAAAACTTTCAAAACTTTATAGAAAAAAAGGACACAAAATAAGCCTTCAATTTTAAGAATAGAAATATAAAAATATGGCTTAAACATTATAAAGTAAAAATTTTCGAAAACTTTATTAATTTTTAGATTTCCTTAAATTAAATGTTTTAAAACTTTTGAAAAGTTTAGAAAAACAGATTTTCCGATATAACCTGAAAAAAAAATAAAAATTTTTTTTTAAAGAAAATAAATAAAATATTTCAAATATTTTTGCATATTTTTTATATTTTTTATTATAAATTATAAAGTTATTTAAAAAATTTTTTTTTTATTATATTTATGAAAAAATTCAAAATATAAAATAAATTAAAATGTCGTCTGGTAGGTAAAAGTGAGAAATAAATTACCTTTTGATAAATAATTATTTTAAATACCAAAAATAATTTTTTTAATATATATAAACGTCATAGATAACTTTATATTTCCTTTTAAAAAATAGTATAAATACAAAGTAATTTTTGATAAAAATTTATATTTTAAAATTTCCAAAAAATAATAAAGTTTATTCTATCTTATAATAAATTTTTTTTTATTTTTTCATAATAAAAGCTTAATATTCATTTAGTTTACATTCAAGAAGTTAAAATAATGTGCAAATTGATTACATTTCCAACACTCTTCTCTTTCCTGAACATGATTCTATTCCCTTCTTTCACCTATTCAAGATCAGTGATACATTCATTATTAACAAATGATTTGACGCCTCCCCCTATGGACAACGGTAAACTATCTTTATAAATATACTGGTTCATTATATCATTAATGAAGAAAAGAATTATATTTTGTCTTGCTGGAAAGGGGCGTCATGTGATTAAAAATCTATAATTTATCATCATTTTCCAAATGATAGGCTTTATCAAAAAAATATTACATATTTCACAGATCTGAAGTAGTGTTATTAAAAACTTAGATTTAACATATTTTTTTAAAAAAAGTCTAAATGTAGATTTTAGCCAGACAAATATCTACGCCTCGAGATTTCCTCTAAAGATGTAAGAAAGGGTTGGTAATTAATCGTGAGATTTGAGCAATATTTGTTTGGCTAAATTTTTGATTTCGCGTTTTTCAGAAATGAGCGAAATAGGTTATAACATTACTAGTTCTGAGCCTTTATCCCTCCTTCTCTCGTGATTATAATTTCCTTTAAAGTATTATATAATTATTTATTCATTTTATATTTCAGAATATTATGGTTCGGAGCGATTTAGGGATCACCCATTATACTTTTTACGTTCTGGTCTTGATAAATCCCACGTTAACTCAAATGCAGACGATACATTATATTACGATTCCTCAAATTACGATTATTCCGATCCTATCGATTATAACTATAGTGATGATGAATTATTGAAAAAATTATCTGCCGATAAGAAATTCTACGTTTATTACCTGAATGATTCTCAAAAAGTTGTTCAAGAGATCGATGGGATAAATTTTACTGTTTATCTTGATTTTGACGATTCGGAAGATATTTCTTTTCCCGATAATGGGCCTTTCGTTCACAACATATCATTATTTGGTGATGCCGTGTCAATGAATAATGATAATCATACATTGGATGACCTAGTGGAAGAAAAATATATAAGAAAGGCTGTTGATATATTCACTCAAAGATCTACCTCTATTCAAGTGAGCAAAAATATCAACTTTACAAAAAATACTATATTGATTTATAAATTTCGAATAATGGGATTATTTATAATATTTAAAAAAATAAAAATTTATTAATAGAATGTTCCGTCGTTTGTAGCCACACAGGAACACGTAAAGAGAGGATTTTACGAACCTACAGACAAGCACAAACCTATACATAGTAAAAAAAAAATTTTAAATGATTATTTTATATGTATTTATTATAATAAAACTCTTCTTAAAAATGTAAATTTTCCATGGTCATTTATTAACATTATTAAATTATTCATCAAAAAAGACAGTTTTGAAAGCAAATCTATACCATATAGCAAGGTTAGGCAGTTAACTATTTAGCAAAGTTATATCTACCTTTTTGTAAAAAATAACTGTAACGCCATTTTTGTAAAATATTCGAAACAATTTTTTACCTACTTATTTTAAAAAATTGATTTAACCGACAAATATTTAATAAGAATATTTTTTAAAAAATATAATCATGAAAAATTTTATTTTGGATTAAATTATGATATCAATTTAAGTTTTAAATTGTATAGGATTTATTGGTTCAGCTTATTTAAAATTTAGTGGGAAAATATATAAAGTATTTAAAAGTTTTTATTTAAAAAAAAATCTTTTGCGGTATAAATTATGAATGTATAGTAAAATTTAAAAAAAAAGAATATTTAAATGTCAGGTTATCAAGCTAATTGACTTCTTACAATATAATAAAAAATTATTTTAAGCTCAATTAAATGTTAATGCAACTAAGTTACAATCACTTTCTTAAAGATATTTTTTCTAACTGTGTACTTATACCCAACCAAGTCATTTTTTGGTATAAGCATTTATATATCATAATCTAAAACATCTGTTTTATCATTAGAAAGATGTTTGGAAGTCGTAGACATAGGCAATTGTGGGAAAGACCTTGATATGTGGTACTTTAATTTCAATACACTAGAATGTACCAAGTTCGCTTACAAAGGTTGCGGCAAGTCTCTTAATATATTCGCTTCCTATGATTCGTGTGAAGAGTATTGCCTACCAACAAAATCAATCCATTATATGTGGTGACAATAATAAATGGAAGAAAAAAAATCGTTTTAAATAAAAATTCGTATATTCGCAAATTCAATCAATAATTAAAATTTAAATTAAACCACAATGTAATTAAAAGACAAAATAACTTATATTATATAATATATATTATAATCATATATAAAAAAATTATTTATATTTAATATATTTTATAAATAAATTAGAAAATATTTTCCAGTTGAAATCATTCAATTTATATATTGTGTATAATATAAATACACAACATAATGAATTAATAAATTCACAACAGAATACATACACTACATTATATTATAACTAATATTAAACTTTTGCACTAAAAAAATATATTTTGTCAGAGGTAACATAAGTTTATAAAAGGATCATATATATAGATAAAATCTTATAAGTATATTATTTTGCTCAGGGAAAGCTCAGCAGTAATTTTTTTCCTTAAATTTCTCATAATCTAAAAAGTCTCAGAATTTTTACATTTCACAGATATTTTTCTTAAAATCGAAGACGAATTTCTTAGTGTTTCATATACATTTCTTAGCGATTCATTATTAATTAAGAAATAATTTTGAGCATTCAACATTTTTTCGGACCGTTTAAGTATTTATTTACTTAAGAATTTTTTTCTGACATTTTAATTTTGATTCCGAGCGAATACGAACAACATTTATTAATTAAACTTATTAATGTTTTAACATTATATTGGCGTATTCTCACTAAAGTATTAAGAAAATAGTGATATCTCCAAAGATTTGCCGTTTGGTCCCGTTATTATACACTAAAAAATATAAATATGTACGACTTGATCGGGAAAAATTTAAGATTAAATATTTGAAAATTTTTATATTAGGGTATTTGCCTCATAAATTAAATAAATTAACTTAAATATTAAATATAAATTATGCAATTTATAATATAAAAATATCTTCCAAAAATTGGAATTTTAATTTAGTCTCAAATATTTTTGTGGGAAAATAATATAATCAATAAACAATAAATAATTAAAAAATATGCTTATAATAATCTCCTTTCCATGAAGATTCCCCACACTTTCAACCAATTCTTTATATTCTAAACTTTAAATTAAATATATATACTTTAATGCAAAATTATATTATATTTAATTTTATAAATTTTTAATTAAATAAATAAATTTATAGTTCATTTAAATAGAGTACAAAATATTACCAAACCGATATTCTTAAAATCTATCTTTGTCTCAAAATTTATGGATGAGCGATTTGACATTGCAAGAATATAAGCAGGTTTGAATATAATTTTAGTTTGAAGAGCATAATGGTCGTCCACTTTTAAATTTTTGCGTGTCGCATGAATGAAATTTTTGGCAGATTTAGAGACATTATACTTTTCATTAATATTTTTTTTGTCAAAATTTCTTAGCTCGAGAATTTTACTAATGGCACCCTTTATTGGGTATACAGAAAGTATAAGCCGGGGGATTTAAGAAGCAAGATTGGTGACTCTTTGGCAATATAAGAATCCTAATGATTTAAATTTATAATATCTATTTTGATTAATCTTTTGAATTTAATCAAAACCAAACCCATCTAACCAATGATAGGTAGTTTATTAATAAACAAAAGAATAAAATAATATTTTGTCAAAAACTTACAAAATATAGATATATATTATGTTAGCGGCAATGTGCCCTGCAATGTGTTATTAACTTTAGATCATATTTTGAGCCAAATTTAAAATTTTACCTGAAATATATTCCTGCATGTGAGTATATCTATCCTACAAATTGTAGTATGCCATTAACCTTTCAGTCATTTATAATATATATAAAAAATAAATGGTGAAATATTAAAATTATATTATGTTCAAAGGTTTGTGGCAAAATTTACCGCTAACAAATATAAATAGTTAAATTATAATGTAGCAAAATTTTGTAAGTCAATAAATAAAACGTGGTTTTTTAATAAAAGCCTAATGCACTCCTCTATCCTTCCCCCGACGGCCAATGTTTTGAATTTTAGCTACGAACGGTCAGTGCATATATAGGAATGAACCAATGCACAGACTTAGTTCTACTCAGTAGTACTTTCTAAATATGAATTCATATTTATATTATACTTAAATTATAAACCAAAATGATGAAATCATAAAAAATGTTAAACATTTTTCCATCGTCATTCATAAATATTTAAAATTTCAAAAATTTGCATAATCACCTAAAATGTAAGTCAAATAAAATTAAAAATACATAAAGGATTTTATTATATGGTTTTTTTTCTATATAAGCATTTCATTAAAACCTATTAATTTTTTTAAATATGATAATAAAATATATACATCCTTATTTAATTAAGATTGATAGTTCAGATTAGTCATCAATTGGTATGCAAGTACAGGAAACGAGTTAGGTAAGGTTATTTGTTTTATGAGGTATAATAAAATATGACTCATGCTTTTAATTGAATATTTTTGATAAATATGCGATAAAGCGTTTTAGGTACAACAGTGTTACGCGAAATATTTCTCATTTCCACCTAATTAGATGTTAATAAAAAATCTGGGAAAATAATGAGAGGCCCTTTACACGTTTGTGTGCAAGCCGCACGTATACTTGTACGCATAATAGTTCAATGACCATTATCTAAATGTTGATTGAAAGAAAGACCAAAACAGCCCACACCCATAAACTACAACTATATTTAATAACATTATAAGGTAAGAGAAGACCTATTTTAAATTACTATATCTCTATATTTAATCAGTAGATTCTGTTAGTTGGAAATTCTGAGAAAATGTTGATGTTGGTAGTGTGATCTAAAAATGCAAATATTAATTTAATTAAAAATCATCTTCCAAGTTGCACCGGATTATTATGATTGATTTGAAAATATTTAGTTACAAAAAATCCTATTTATACAAACATTTTAAAAAAATCTTGACTTTTACAAAATTTATAAATATTTTACAAAATAAAAATATGTTAATATTATGAGATTGTATTCAAAATTTTTGCCTGAAATATGAATTAAAATCACCTTACCTTATCATTCAGGGGTTAATTAAACATTGTAATAGAAAATTATGTGTTTTATTATTAAAAAATTCAATCTTATTTGATAGTTTACATTCAATATATTTTTAAATAATTTAAAATATGAAACAATATATAAAAATGATTGCATTCAGTGCTATAAAAATTTAAATTTATGGAGCTAGCTTAAAAGCTTTTTTACTGACTTAATAATGAAATTACTTCACCAAAGCTTAAAATTATTAAATGTCTATGCCCAATTTTGCCAAATGTAAATTTTAAGTATAATCTAAGTTTATATCCTTTTAAGTATAATTCTAAGTTAATATCTCAAGGCTTTTTAACTCATGTATAAGTATATTTTGATTAATTGAGTACATATATATATAGATAAAATAAATGAATAAATTAGTACTTTTCAACTGGTTAGCGTTTTATATATAATTACATGATTTATTTTAAATATTTTGGGGTTAAATTGTATTTCTTGCGCACTAGAGCGAATTGTATAAAAAATAATACATAAATTATACCTCATTAATCAGAAATTTTTATAATAAAGTGCATAAATATTACCTAATTTATATTCTAAGCCTATTCATGAATCCCAAAGCTAATTCCAATGTTGCCCCCACCCCTACCCTATCTTACTTCCATCCAGTCCATACCCCGTACTACCACCATCCTGCCACCCTACCTACCGCTCTTTAATTTTTATTCAACTGACTTCCCCCAATTTCTATGTCTATCTTGCGTCATAACCCCCCCCCCCCCGATAGAAATTCTTATGTTGACTAAGAGGTACCCCCCCCCCCCCCGAGATTTCACACTTTATTTACTACTCTACTTTCAACATTATTTTCTCTTACCTACCTCCCTTCCCTATTTCAATGACGATCTTGCTTCATCCCCGTTTTAGAAGTGCCTGTCATTCTTTCATGATTAGAGGATTTATCAGCTGTTTCAAAACTTACATCAGAGTTTTGGTTGTAATTCGGAATAACATCACCTGAAATGGTTTTTTTCTTTCGCTCATTGCAAATAAAATCGATAAAAAAATAAGTGCTTAATGGATAGATTCCACAGGCAGAAAACCCTCTTAAAAAAATATTTTGTAGTGAAATTCTTGTTTCACTACCCCTTGCCGTATAGCCCAGGAGTAGTGAGCCTTGAAGGACTCTACTCCGGACCAGGTTTACTAGGTAGCTTAAATATTGATAAATATATTCTATAAATTTCATAAATTTGGGTACTTTAGTCTCAAATAAAAACTTAGCAACAAATAAAATTTGGTCAAAAGGGCTAAAAATAAAAAAGTCATTGATAGGCATTTTTTTACTATGGAGCTCATACTAAATGAACATACGGTAGATAGAAAGTATGCTTACTACATCTTTATACCAAATTCGAAACAATCAGTCCTAAAGTTAAAAAAATGTTATAGACGTTTGCTTTACCACACTTGAGGCATAACCCCGGTTTCCCCACCTAATATGAAATATCTCATAAATTTCTGTCAATTTTCGAAACTTTTTCCTTATTAATCAAATTAATACGCTCATTGGCGGATTACACGAATTGAATGTAACATAATGTAGCACAGCATAACATGTCCGATTATATATAATTACTTTAAAAATAATATAAAGTACCAATAATAAATATCTTAAAATGCAAAAATCATTTATTTGAAATTATTATGAACAAAATATAACCTAATAATTAATTATTTATGGCAAGTTTAATATAATTATTTTTAAATACAAACTATTAAATAAAAAACTATTATAGATAAAACATAATTATTGTCAAAAATAAGTTATTATATATAATAATTAGAATATAATATTGGTTCATCTATCTCCTTTGCTTTTACCTTCCCCGCTATGCATCAAATATCTGAAACGGTCATAAATTGCTCTGTGCTTTGAATCTAATAAGGGTTGAGGACTAGTCTTATTATGACTCCGAGTATGTTTTCCGCCATTTCTATCTCGATCGTTTCTCTTGAATAACAATGAATGTCTACTAGCAAAAATTTGATTATCACCCTCTTGGCGGATCCTAGGCAAGGGGGAATTATTCGTATATCGCGGACTATCGCTTTCACCTGAACTCAGCACATTCACGCCACTATCTACATTATATTTTATACGATTGGTGGCTGATTTATTTTTTTCATAAGTTGAAAAGGGGTTTAGAGATGGGCTAATATCTTCTTCCGAGTCCAGATAATCCTTAAGCTTAGTATTGAATCTATCACGGTAACCTTTGGTATTGACTGAAATTAAAATATCGTGCATTTAAAATAACTAAAAAAAATGTAATTTTTATTATTAAAAAAAGATTTTAAACCCAAGAAACCTCTAAATCAAGAAATAGAATAAAACAGTTTTTCATATTTATATAATGTAACCAAATGAAAGAGGGAAAATATTATATACTTTTTTTCCTTAATTCTTTAGGTGTAAATCGTTAATATATATATATATTCCTTAATTAAAAAAAAATTTACATTTAAAATTTAAAGCAACATTACCGATATTTTCCGGTGAGGAGAACCCGTATTCACTCTTTAAGCGGTTGGCACTCTTAGTATGCTTTTTAATTCTACGATTCTTTTTACTTTTCATGATTAATTGATTAATACCTTTAATGAATACAAGTTATTTTAAATTTCATTGTTGGTGATGCTAATATATAATATATGTTTGAATAAAACATCATTAAAATGTATCGCTAAAACTAAAATAATATACTATTTAGGCATAATTTAATAGTATGGGCGTTATGTTCAAGATTGCGTTGTTTAACGCAATCGAAATCACAGCTGATTCCGTTTTAAAAATTAATTTAATAGATAAAGATAAAAAATAAATAAATATTTTATATAATATTTCAGAAATATCATAAACCTTTTTGTCCAATTCGCTATTAATTTTATAATCGTATCACATATTTATTTTATCATCGCATATGTTTTCCAAATTTTATCAGTGTTATCATCATAACCAGGGACTTGCAGAGGTACCATTTGCACGACCCGGTCTGGGCTTTATATTTTCTGGCTTGGATTTTTTTATAAAAATATTTCCAGGCCCGGCCCGAATTTTTTTAAAAAATTATATATTTATTATTAATTTTTATAGCTAATAATGACGTTTAAAATATACTGGCCGTATAAAATTTTCAGGCCCATCCCTACCCGAATATTTAAAAAAAAATTCAGCCTCGGTATATTATAAAAATTAAAATATGACCCGGCCCTTGTACTAGGGAAAGCCGGGCCGGGCTTAGGGTCGGTCTAGCAGATCTCTGATCATAACGCTCCATATTTATAAAAATATACTTATTTATTGGCTTGATTTTGTAAGCAACACTGGGTTAAATAACTCACCACTTGAACATGACGCATTACTATAAATTAGGCCATAGTATGAGGCCATGCCAGAGCATTTCTAGTGTTTGAGAAATTGAGGCATTTAGCGATGATTATTAAAAAAAATTACGATTATATATACGTCGTATTGGGATATGGAATTCAAGTGTAGTCAAAATTTCTAATCATTTAATAAGAATCGTTTTTAAATTTTTTAAAAAAAATCTTATTTAACCAGAATTGTATTCCAACATATATAGAGTTACTACAATTTTAGACAAATCTTAGTCATAAACTTTTTTATATTTATTAATTATATTAAAGATCTATATATTAAAAATGAAAATAAATTAAGTGTAGTTCAAAGGTTAAGGATAAAATTCTCTTAAATTCGTAGTGTAGATACTCTAAGAGTCTCTAAAATCATTATTTTGGATTGAAAATATTAAACTATCCAAAAAATAGATTGCAAATCTTATATTGCTGATAATTTAGATTTTTATATAGGGGAGATTATATTGACCAGAAAAAATAGGAATAATGAAATTACTATTATAGCACTAGGAACTATATGTAATAGACTTTCTTTCAATAGAGAAAAGTTTCAAATTTATCACAAGTTTTATCAATGTCATTTTCTGACCTAAATTAAATTTAAAGTAGTCTGGTCTTTCTCACTGATCATTTTTAAATCTTTAATACTAAAAATTTGTAATCATTTCGAAATACAAAAATTTTTGGGAATTAATAGGTAGGCAGAAGGTAAAATTTTTTTATTGTTCAAACACTCAAAATATTTACATTTTGAAAAATATTTAACACTCAATTTTTTTTTATTTCATCTTTTAACATATATGTCCTCGAACGTTCATATTCACAGTTAGCGCGAATTCGCGGCGAAGTATATAAAACATGCTGTATTTTTATACTTCGCCGTGAATTCGCGCTAACTGTGAATGCTGGATTTAGCCTCATTTATAGTAACCATAAAAATAACGCTCTGCACCGCGTTAACCAAAATACATCGTCATGTTAAATTATACAGCTCTCATCGTTTGGCAATAAATTATTTATCGCCTATAAGCGCTAAATATAGCAATCTCGCGCATGCGTTATTTTTTAAATATATAATATCGAATTATAGTGCAATCTAATCGAGCGTTTCCGAAATAAAATTCAAACTAGCTTGCGTTTTTATTAGCCGTTTATAAATTGTTTTTTTGCACAATACCATTTGAGATGCATTGTGTGCCTTTTGCATTACAAAACGCAAGTCAATCAGGTTGCACTATTATACAGATCGTGCAGCAATAAATTACCCATAATTTGAACGATTATCGCGGTATTTTGATCTTACTATAAATGAGGCCTTTGCCTTGATCAATTGACAGTGAACAAATGCACTCATTTTTTTTAGAAATGTCATTTTATAAGAATAGAGTTACCACCATTTACGTCGTTCAACTGATGCAAAGCCGATGACAGAGATAGTCGAAACCCTTCAATTATTGATTCATAATGAGCTTTCATGGCCCTAATTTCGATCAAACAACTCTCGATTTCTTCCTGCATATGCCTTTTTTCCGCTAAACACCTATCTCTCTCAATTTTTTCTTGTTTATTCTTTTGCAACTTGGTTTGGAGCTTCTTGTTTTCTCGCGTTTTATGGACCAACTCTTCGAAAAGACTATTGTAAGACAACTCGACATTTTGTTTTTCTAACATGCACCTATTTAGCATGTCTTGCATATCAGACTTTTGCCGAATCAGTGATGTCATATCGCTCTGCAGCAGTAATTTTTCCCCCAACACCAGTCTAGCATTGAAACTCAGCATTTCGCAGTAGGTTTTTAAATCATATTTTGGCCCACGATCCTTTTCACTCAATTTCGTCAAAAATTTTATCTCTTTTTCGTTAATCTTAAAATTAAACGGACAGGTATAGTAATCATTATCCGTTCTTGTTTCATTTGCTTCGTCATCTTCCAATCCATTTTCAGCTTGGGGCATGACGACCAGCTGGGGAGCCGAGCAAGACTTATGCAATATATCGAAAGATGAACTCTTGTTGCACACATAACTTTCAGTTTGACGCATAAATCTCGAATTTATACGGGAATATCTAGTGGCGGCATTTATAAAATTGATACAATCCGAATACTTATCCCCTTTAAATTGATCGCCCACGTATTTGTCTATCAAACTGTTTTTAATAATAAATTTAGAGATATCTATCAAAGACTCGGTCTTTAATAACTGTCTAGGTTTATCTTCCATTTTATTGGCTAGTTATTGATTTATCATTTTTTTTTTGTGGCGGTAGAGAATTTTTGTAATTGCGAAGAAAAAAAAATTGTATTTCCAACGATAAATTATTTAAAATGATAAAATGTATCAGTACATAAATATCTATATAAAAATTCTAGAATGATCAAAAATTAAATAAATATATAATTTGATATTGTAACTAGACTGGGTTTGGGCTATTAGTTTCAATTTATATTTTTAAAACTTAAAAATGAAATTAAATCCTTGATGCATAAAATAAGTTGGTTACTGCTGATAGCAGGTTCATTTATTTTCTATCAATGTATAGAATGCCAAGGTAAACATTTTTTTTATTTATACATTAAAAAAACATTTTATTTAAAAAAATGATCAATATATTATTCTAAAGTTTTTAACTTTTTAAGATTTATCTTCTAAGATTATGCAATGTCCAAAACTGGAAATTAATAAAAATTGTACCAAAATTTAACTAAAAAAAGATTTTGATAGAAGAATGTTTTGGACATATTTTAATTTTATTATCGATAGGAAAAAATATCATACTTTACAGCCAATCGAAAAAAGAAAATTTCATTCAACTTAGGGAGAATATAAAATTTTAAAAAAAATGATGTATTAAATTATGGTCAAAGGAATAAAATAAGGAAAAAGTATAGGAAAAATATTCCTAAAATTAAAATAAATTAACGATAAAATATCTGTTGGATTATATCTCTGTTTCTTGGATCATTTCCCTTATCAATCTTTTCCTACTTTAATTGACCCTTTTCCTTATTACCGCTTTTTCATAAGCTTTTGGCAGTTTTCCTTTATCGAATTTAAATTTTTTCCTTATACATGGAACATCTTTTTAATAGGAAAATTTTTTTTGTTTTTTAAAATGTGTTAATTTAAGATCTTTAATTAAAGTATGTTTGAGTATTCTTAGAAATACATATATAACATAATATAAGAATCCAAAAATCAAAAAATACTTTTGAAAATCGTATTTTGATATTGAACAAATAATTTAATCATTATTTATCCAAGGTTATCCTTACATTAAAAAGTGTGTGTTTTGTTTGTATTTAAAAAAAAAGAAAAATGAGTGAATGAGAATATATATCAGGTGGCTCAAAAGAACTCGGGTTTTGAAATCTCTATATATAATTAATAATTCTAAAACACTTTTTTAAAAATAGATATTTTCTACAAGATGGAAATGCCTAATTATTTCAAATATACTAATCAAACTAAGGGATCCTAAAAAAATTATTCCGTCCTAAAATAAAATCCTAAATAGGAAATTGGAACCCTTATATAGATAATGTTTACCATTAAAGGGTATAAAATAAGATTATTTTTATTTATGGGAAAAATTAAAATACAATTATGAAATTTATTGACATATTATATTTAATATATAATAATGTTTATTTTTTTTATATGTTATATAATTTTCTAAAACAATCAATATGGATGACACATGTGACACATGTGACACATACCTTGTCTTGGTTATGGCACACTTTATACCATCGTACTTCTTTCTATCTATTGCTTTGTTTCAGTTTGTAAGAAAACTTAATTAGGGGTTCTGTAACATGTATACCATTGGGGTATTGCGAAGGAGCTACAGGGGGCTAAGCCTACCCCGAATTTAAATTTTGAGGGGGCTGAGCCTTCTTGCCAAAATTTTTTATTTTTTTAAAAGTGTTAAATTATAATCCATTTTATAATTATTATTGTTATAAAAATTGTATTTTGTATTTATTCAAAAATCCTTTTCATATTTTTTTTATAAGCTACATAGAAAATAGATAAACAAAAATTTTATTTATTAATTTTTTTAATATAATTATTTTTATAGAAATTTTTATCTCGTTAAGTGCTAAATAGCTAGGAGAGACCGGGGTAAAGCGATTGACGGGGTAACAATGTTAATGCAAATAAATTTTTAATCCTTGATCACTAAAATTTTAAATTTGGTGTGAAGATGTATTTTTATAACTAATTTCTTACCTATGTTCA